AGTTTAAAGTGTTGGGTTCCACACCCCCAACACCCCCACACCACACATTGGGGGGGTTGTAGCTCAACGATTTTAAATTTGGCAGGGTTTGAGAAACACTGGGCTATATTCTCAGCTCTCCTTGCAAGGAATCCCAGAATGAGATGCTGGTCTGTAGATGCAAGCCAAGTCACTCCAGCCCAGGACTTTTCATATATTTACTGATTTGATTGGATTTTGCCATCGATGGTCTTTCTTTCTCGCCCCAGGGCACTGAAGGTGGCTGACGGTAAAGAGCATGTGAAGAGTCCAGTCTCCTGGTGGTGTGGATGACTGATGTTTGTTGTGTCTTTCTCAGCTGCTGGGTATTTTAATTTTTGTAATTATTTTATTTTAATCTGGTTGGCCACAGGGAGTCCCTTGCTGAGATAAGAAAGAGTTTATCTAGCTGCCTATCACTGGAAAGTGTAACAACTTCTTTCAGCTGCCTTCTTCCCGGCCAGCGCTTCACGTATGTAAAAAGGGGGTTTCAATCGCATGATTGTGGTCACTGCCTTGACTTTTTTGACATCCCTGCCCCCTCCTCCTCTACCACCATAAAAAAGTAGAATTCTCCTTCAAGTCAAGCTTCATGTCTGGCGACTCAAAGGAGATGCCTTCCTGGCTGATTTTTCCAACTTCTCCAGCTTCCATGGGATCTCCTGACAAACTCCCATCCCACCACCAAGGTCAGCTAGATGGGCTGCCTAGAATCATAGAATCCCAGGGTTGGAAGGGCCCTTGGAGGTCTTCTTGTCCAACCCCCTACCCTCAAACCATCTCGGACAAATGGTTGTCCAATCGTTTCTTGAAAACCTCCAGTGATGGAGCACCCGCAACTCCGGGAGTTTAGCTGTTCCACTGCCTAAGAAAGATGCCTTCTTCTCTGATGGCTCCTCCAGGCCATTTGCCTCGTAATTTGCAGATCAACAGCCTGAAAAAGGAAAGTAATGCCAGGCCAGCGAAGGCCAGTGGGAGAGTCTTCTACACAACGTAGAACTGAACTATGGCACCCATTAATACTGAACACCAATGAGGGCCACCAACTTGGTTGGCTTCAAAAGGGGCTAGAAAAATCCACGGTGAGACTGGCTCTGCATCAGGGAAGCGGGTGCAGAGCTGGGAACCCACCAGCTCCTGCCTGTCATAGATAAGCAGCAATTTCTCAGGCAGGAGAAACAACACCATGCAAGACTTTAATTGCGCACGCACGGACACACACACATTCCTGTGAGCCCCACCTGTTTCTGCCCATGGTTTCATGATCTTTGACGACAACTTGGAGCTCAGCATTCTGGTCTAATGGAATACCTTTCAGGTCCCACTCGAAGCCCTGAGAAGAGGGGAGAAAGAGGGACTTCAGAACAGAAATTCAATACACAAGGATGAAACCCAACTAATTCCAGCAGATGACTCCAGCTATTCAGCAACAGGGGCACCTTTTTGCGGGCTGGTTGGTTTTTTCACATTCCCCATTCACCAAAGCTCACCACCAGGACTGAAGATGCATTCAAGGGCTGAGTTTCCAAGAAGAAACATTGTCTTCCCATCACCACAACCACCAGCAGAGTCAGAGAATCAGTTCCGGCTTCCTTTCCAGGGATCTCCACAGGTGTAGTCCAAAAGGTCAAGATGGTGCAGTCAAAGCTTCAGCCACCATCTTGACTTTTTGGACCATACCCTGAGGACATCTCCATCCCTTTCCCTAGTAAAATGTAACCCGTTGGATAGAGGCAGACCGTTGCACTCATCCCTCATCCAGCCATTGCTTTCACAGCCAGAGCATCTCTCCACTTAAGGTGCAGAAATGCCAAGGTTTTAATCCTTCATGAAAAAGCAGAAATCAATGGATGAACCTTTTCCCAGAGACATCCAACTTCCTCTATGGAATCTCCATCAAACGGAAAGAGGTTTTGATTGACTCCAAATTCAAACTCTGCGGTTCTGCCACGATGCTGCGCATTTTACAGATAACTGAAGGCAGCATGGCTGTAACAAGGCAGCACAGAGTTTCTGACAAAGCTTTTGGTCACCACCAGTTTCCTTCTCCTCTGAAGGAAATCCAGTCAACAACAAAGGTTCCCAGGAAGATTAACTAAAAGTTTCCTACTACTAAGAGGATGTGTGATAAACAGACACCATTGTCATTACGTGTCTCTCCAAAGGAAAAACTTTTAGTTCTAATTTAGTTCCAAACTCTTCTGTCTTTGTGGTTTCATTTTAAGAGCGAAATAGCCCTGTTTCACTATAAGAATGAAGAGGACAGAATGCTAGAGAGGAAGTTGATAATCCAACCCCCCCACCGCCCAGAAACATAAACTGACTTTGGAGGCATCAAGAAGCTATTAAGTAGTAACACACACACACCCAGCTATGAGCAGCAAAAACAGGGCAGAACCCGCAAGCAGAAAGGCAGTTCCAGGGCACAGGGCTTGTGGAGAAGAAACCACTGCCCCTACTTTAATTATTTTCTTTTAGGTGGGTGATGAAATTTGGGAATCCTTCCCACTTTCGTAAAGGACTGCCAATCCTGATGCTGAAAAGCAGTGTTTGTATCTTGATAAGCTGCACAACAGATCAACTTGCATAAGAATGGGAAAATCTATCTATCATTTAATCTCTATCATCTATCTATCTATCTATCTATCTATCTATCTATCTATCTATCTATCTATC